AAAAGCCAACAAAATTCTAGGCTGCATTAACGGGATAGACTCATGATCATGTGAAGTGTTAATACCACTTTATAACACCTTGGTAAGGCCACACCTGGAATACTGCATCCAGTTTTGGTCACCACGATGTAAAAAAGATGTTGAGACTCTAGAAAGAGTGCAGAGAAGAGCAACAAAGATGATCAGGGGACTGGAAGCTGTATAAGAAACGGTTGCTGGAATTGGGAATGTCTAGTCTAATGAAAAGAAGGACGAGGGGTGACATGATAGCAGTGTTCCAACATCTCAGGGGCTGCCACAAAGAAGAGGGAGTCAAGCTATTCTCCAAAGCACCTGAAGGCAGGACAAGAAGCAACAGATGGAAGCTAACCAAAGAGAGAAGCAACCTAGAACTAAGGGGAAATTTCCCAACAGATAGAACAATTAATCAGTGGAACAACTTGCCTCCAGAAGTTGTGAATGCTCCAACACTGGAAGTTTTAAAGAAGAGATTGGACAACCATTTATCTGAAATGGTATTTAGGGTTTATTGCCTGAGCAGGAGGATTGGTCCCTTCCAGCTTCCATTCTATTCTATTCTATTCTATTCTAAACATTGTGTATGAAATTCATGCCTAGATAAAGATGGAAAAGAAAATTTTGCTGCATTAATAGAGGATAAAGATTTCATCTATTAATGAGAGTCAATTGCCTCTGATTAACTTACACAATAACATTATTTAGTAGTATAAATCATAGAATTGTGTTAACAAAGTGAAACAATTTGGTTCATTAAGTGTTATTGTAAATAAAATAAGTCACAGATTTTAATTTGTCTCTGAGATTTTATTATACAGAGCCATGAGACCTGATGATACAATAACTTAAACTAACATTCATAATTTGATGAATGGCAGAAAAACCTTCTGGCAAAATGTGGCCAGCTCAGCTCAGAGAACATCAGCTTTCTAATCTATTTTCTAAAAATATTCCACTGTCTTAATTAATTTGTGCCTTTTAATAAAATAAATCCAAATACTGGCAGAAACAGCTGCTAGTTGTTATGTATATTAATAAGAAATTTGAGACATTTTAGTTAATTGGTTTTAATAAGATTGTCAGTAAGTACAATAAACAAGGATGAAAGCTTACAGATTTTTTTTTATAAAATTTCTAATTGTACTGGCTCTGTCACTACACATATTTAACAACTGGATATGCTGAGGAACTTATCTAAGTTGATTTGAAGTCAGTGCTGAGGACACCAGCATTTATATTAAAATTTGACAAACTAATAGATTGGCATGAGTTGTTAGGAATATAAAACATACTGCTAGGAAATGACTAAGAGAAATTTATTCACTTAGTCTAAGAATGGGTACTGTCTGACATTCTGTAGTTTCGGTATGTCTCACATTTGTTTTTTCTCTTAATTGATGTAAAGAATGTCCAAGGTTGGACCGAAATTGAAACAATTAGATTTCTGTCTACATGATATTCACACTGTGCAGTCTCCAGGTGAAAAGCTCTCTAATAATAAATGATTCCCCACTGCCCTCTTTACCAAAGATAAGGCCAAAAGGCCTACCCATATCAGCTCTGAATTCCTAGGCTATAAAATAAGAGTTGTCCTGTTATGCATCGTGAGGCGCTTCAGCATTCTGCTGCTTAAATCTGACATCCCTCTATTGTCAAAAGATCTATTTTTAGATTGATAGTCTGTGAACATGGAATGTTTAATTACAGTAAAGGGAAAAGCATGGATGATGGAGCAGGGTGCTACTTTCAAGTACTGTTCCAATGGCAAAAAAAAAGTCCCTTGATTCACAGGGTGCTTCTTAAAGAGTTAACAGCAATAAACACTCTGGAGTTTGAATTCCATATTGGTATGTGATGGCAAGTCTATAAACAATTGTTAAATACAACATAACTTAGTGCCAACATTGTTAAAGGTTCCTAAGTGTTTGTTGCACTATTATAAACAAAAAAATAAACCTAAAAATTAAGTGCATCCTTGGTTACTTGCACAACATGCTAACCCATGACGACGAAATCCACCAATTTTCTGAGTTTGTGCAACACAGTCCTGAACAAATAGGTTGGGCTAAGATTGCATAATTTGAATTTGAATTTGAATTTTATTATATTTATACCCCGCCCTTCTCCCGGAGGACTCAGGGCGGCTTACAGCCAGTTTAAAAACAACTAATACAATACAATACAAAATTTAAGAAAATGATTAAAAATAAATATTTAAATAGGCCGCTTCTACTAAAATTTAGTTAAAACCAATTTAAATACCCCTAGGCCAGTCCTGCCCGCTGAAACAACCAAGTCTTGAGGGCGCGGCGGAAGGAGGGGAGATCCGGAATCACCCGGATCTCTGGGGGCAGCTCGTTCCAGAGGGTGGGTGCTCCGACAGAGAAGGCTCTCCCCCTGGGGGTCGCCAGCCGACACTGTCTGGTTGACGGCACCCTGAGGAGGGCCTCTCTGTNAAGGCGGTCTTGGAGGTAACCAGGTCCAATGCCATGGTGCGCTTTAAAGATGATAATCAACACCTTGAAGCGCACTCGGAAGGCCACAGGCAGCCAGTGCAGCTGTTAAAATAAAATGTGGTTAGTTAGCTGATCGCTCAATGCAAAGCCAATGAATAGGAAGCAAAACTAAGCTTAGCTCAGTGGTGGCCTTAAAACCACCACTGAGTGTAAGGGAATGGTTCCCATTTCATTCTCAGGAGAAATGCTGCATTTAAGTTTAGAGATTTATTTATTAGATTTGTGTGCTTCCTATTTCGTGTAGAGATGACAATGGGTGGCTTACAAGCATTAACAACCATAGAGATCCCGCCCTTATCATGGAAATGCACTGCACTCAACTGGCTTTCAGACAAGCATAATGATGAGCTTGTCACAATAATGCTGACGTGTAATTAGGCTCCTGATTACTTTATATCAGGACAAAGAAAATATGAATATTTTCTTGCCCATTTTACTATAAACACATATCAGGACTTAAAGTTGCTCCCCTTATATGATATTTATATCCAGAAAACATTTTTTATTGATTATATACATTAAGTAGTTGTCATTTCTTAGTAACTATATAGATATTCTCCAGGATACCATATCCTTCAGGTCTTCCAATGTTGCACCCACTTGCCTAAGGGCCAGTCATCCTAGTCTCTTCTGTTATACCTTTCCCATAGAGCTAGGCCTTTGTATAACATGACCCAGGCATGATAACCTGTGTCCTTGAATGAGAACTTTACTTTTCTCTGTTATAGATAAATAGTGACTACAATTCTGCTTTTATTTCAGAATTTTTATTTGTTTGCTTCAAATTAGCAGCCATATTACATACTGCCCATTCTGATACTGGGACAGCACTCAAGATCAACTCTTGGACAGACAAAAAGGCTACAGGGGAGTGAAAGTTAGAATCTCTACTTTAACATATACTCACAGTTCTTCTTACATGCTTTGATGTTCTTTTCTGTTTTAGCCCACTGTAAATAGAAAATCAATGGAGTATGCATCAGTGTATTATGTACAATTTGTAAATGTATCATTCATAAAGGCTATTCTTGGAATGCCCTTCATGGTATAATATCATAGGCCCTTTATTAATGTGTATATATGAGCACACACATACGTATACACACAAAGATGGAATCTAATTTAACTAAAGTTAACTTCTGAAGACACATTAGATAGAAGATAAACGTGCAACTTGTTAACTGTTAATTTTGTTAATACTGTTCTTTGAAAAGGTATTAAGTCGCAATCAGAGTTTCTAATTTCTTGCATAACTTTGCCATTGAATGTTATCAGACCTTCATGTGGGTTTTACTGGTATATAAAGGGAGTCTAAATAGATAACACTAAGATTTTGGTGCTGCTTTCATTTATTTAATCAACAGTTATCCTAACGTGAAAGGAAAAAATATAGAACTGTACCTCCAGCGTATACTATGCCTTCATCAATTTTCACAACTGCAAGGTCAAAGTATATTTCATTAGTAATTTTTGTGTCCTAAATGATTCCCTACTCTTACAACATTCACCCACTCGCATCCTGTATGCCTAAATTATGCAAGAAAACGAGGCAGTGACATCTGATGACAGCTGCTTGTTTCTGAATCAGCTCCTCGACTAGTCTTATTATAGAGGCTTATAATTTTTAGATAAGCACATTATAGAATTATTAATAATAAGACCCGAAGTATGCAAAGCTATTCTAGTGAGTTCATTTTTTTAAATTCTCCATTTCTATGGAATTTTTTTTTAAAAAAACCTGATGGTTTCACTGGCATTGATATTGAGATCAACTAGAGTGCAGTGATTAAAATGTTAAGCTTAAGAAGCTGCCAGACAGCTGCAAAGAGATGTTTTCATTGGTTTAGCAACTCAAGGGGAAGTATTAAAAAAGAAGAAAAAGAAATACCAGTCCCAATTGCCTTCCCCTTTTTGCTTATTTGATGTTTAAAACCACATGTCAACATAAAAGTATGCTGAATTCTTTTGGGAAATAACAAAGATGCATTGAATTATTGCATACAGTTATTACTCAGGGTAAATAAGGAGCTTCTCTTCAGAAGTAAATGGACATTGGGTCATTCCCCAACAGTTAAGAGCACTACTGTTTTATTCAGCCCCACATTTAGCCATTTTGTAGTGATATTTTTAACATCTTGTGGGTTTGCAGGGCAAGCTTTTGAGATGAGAACTAACCAGAAAGGCTATTATTTTACTTGGGCTGAGGCTACATGCAACTTCTAGACTGGATTTCATGATTCCATTTCAGATATTTCTCTGAATTTGGAGGGAAAGCAGATATTTCAGAGCAAGCCTCCTCCATATGAGAAAGAAGGGGCTAATAAGAGAACTAGGGTGGTGTAACAGTTAAGATGTTAAACCAGGGATGGGGAGTGCCGAAATGCATTCCCCCCACCCCCATCTAGCCACAAGACTGACTGATGAATTTGGGCCACCCACTGGTTCTCAGCCCAACCTACCACCCAGGATTGTTTTACAGAATAAAAAAGAGGAAGGAGTCCGTCCTCTTTATGCTGCCCAGCATTCCTGAAAGAAAGAAAGAAAGAAAGAAAGAAAGACAAGGTATAAATTAAACTATTTGTTCTTTTCCGAAGAGAGTGTGTGTGTGTGTGTGTGTGTGTGAGAGAGAGAGAGAGAGAGAGAGAGAGAGAGAGAGAGATTTGCATTGTGAAAACAATGTTTTCTTGTACTGCATAGCAAAACTAGAAATTCTAAGGCAGAGCACTCCTTCAAAAAAAACTTTTTTCCCCTCTTCCCCCCTTTCTATTGATCAATAATAATTTAATAGAAAACAAACAAAACAAACAAAAACAGAGCGAAGCAAACAAATTTAATAGAAAACAAACAAATTTAATAGAAAACAAACAAAACAAACAAAAACAGAGCGAAGCAAACAAATACAATAATATACTAACAGCTAGCAAAATAAGTCCTTGTTCTATAAATTCAGCCTAAATCCTGGATCTGATTATTCAGATATAGGCCTCATGTATTTCAGTGGGGTCCTTATGTACAGCTCCCTCATTATCAGAGCCTTGCATTGGACTCCAAGGATTACAGATCACACACATACACACACTCACACACACACCTTAAATCTGGATGTGATTAAAAACAAAAATATAAACATTTTACAAAAGTGAATGCAGCAGAATCTAGAAATGTGATACAATCAAGACTTGGACAGAAATAGAAAATTAAAAAATAAATCCTAAAATCTGTGTTTACATCCTATTCTTACTTTCATCTGAAGGAAGGAAGGTGGGTTGTCTGAGGTAATAAGATTAGTAAGATTTGTGGAGAGGCAGGCCCTCAAATCTAGCCTCTGTAATGAAAGGAGGCCCAACCAACCTGGCAAGGTCCAATATTTTCTGGAATTACTGCTGCAAACTCTGTGAATTCCTCACCATTTGCTCACCATGTTAAGTCCCATAAAATTCCTTGGTCCCTCCTATTTGTAGTCCCTCCTGTTATTAATAACTTTCTTTCCTCATGCTTTTAAAGGCATTATTGAGGATAGGCCCTGCACCTCTGGTGCCTTTTTTTGGTTTATGTGCAATCACATATTAAAAGATTAATCCAGAAGAGGCAAACAGGCAAATCATTATCCTGGTTTTGCTTTGGAGGTGGGCAAGAGTAAAAAATAGCTGAATAAAACTATTCACTTCCTCCTGGGTTCACATGAAGTTGCATCTATTCTTTACTGAATTCGGATCCCAAAGATTTCCACTTTCCTATAGTACACCTGCAAGAATGTGTATGTGCTTATATTAGGATTAGGGAAAGAACGACAAGAATACTGGAGGCCGACCTAAGGAAATAGAATTTAGGAAAATTAAATAACTCAGACAGGAATCCAGGAGGAGGCCCTTTGCAAAATGCTATATATTTCTGTAGGTAAAATATTGAATACTATATTCACTGCAGGGAGCTGTAGATACTGTTCTTCAAGCAGCAATTTTATTATTTGGGGAACAGAAGTACCATTGTGCTGTATATCCAGAAATCATTTGAGAAAGAAGAGGGAATTTCCTAAGGGTGTGTTTGATAGGGGCTGCCCAAGAGGATGAAAATTGTAGCCCCTAGTAATTGTTCTTCTATAACATTTCATGTGTATAAAGGAGGTCGTTTTTGTGTAATAAGTTCAGATGGGTATTCTCATTTCTTCTATGTTCACTGCTATCTTACTAAAAGGCTTGAACTCTACTAGTAAGGATGAGTGTTGTCCAGGATTGGGTTCAACCCAAATTTATATCTGGTTTGAGTCTTACTACTGTATGCATTGGAATTCCCATTTGGAATTGGAACTTGGGTTGTCCTTTATTAGACTAATATCCTGGCTGCTTTTCCTTATATGCTATTTCCTCCTTCTGTTATTGGCCTGCTCTGCAAGGTAAGTTGGATTTAAAAAGAGTGCTTTGATGGCTAAGGGCATACTGGAATCTGGATTCCCTTGCTTTTGGTCTGACACCTTTCTCACTATACCATGCTGACTTTTCTAGACAAGTATTATTATAGTGAATGCTAGAAAAATAGAGGCTTTCCCATGTCCATTTATTTTTCCACTGGGTTGGGAGAAGTAATTGATCGAGTGAGACTTGTCAACCACTAGGAAATTTTTTTACTGGGAATCATCTTTTATTTAAGTACATTTCCCCCCCCCCCCCATATTGTCCCTTATACACAAAATATGCTTCTTTGAAAACAAAATAAAAAAAAACAGAAGTGACTTTGTTCTTTCTGTTGCTTCAGCACATGATCTCATGCAACATGTGGTTTCTCTTATTCATTTTTATTATCAGCTGACTTGCATGAGGAAAACAAAGTCATGATTGTAAGATACTTGTGGTGATATTTAGCTTGTGGGTGTGACATTAATTTATGCTTTATACTGTAGTGAATGCTTGGAAGAAATAAGATCTTCAAAAGGCTTATCCACCACAAAGTAAGCATGGTACTGCTCTGTTTCATTGGAATAATTGATGATAAAGGATATTTTCTTCCAATATTAGGGCCTATTAAGTTAATTCTACCATATAGTTTTGAGATCAATTTGTAGCATATAGCCTCAGATCGCATTTCCAGAAGCTGTAACATCTGGAAATATCCATTTTATTCTAAAAATAATGAAAGACTGAAAACTAAAACAAATACATGTATTTTTCCAAAACAGCCTCATTCCATAGTTCTTTTTCTAGCAAACAATGAATTATATAAGTGACAAAAAATTATGGAAATAGCGTGTTTTAATATTTCAATAACATGTTATTTTTAAAGTATGTGTTTGAATAATCCTAATGAGCTGTCATGGTAGCTTGTTTGAGACAGTAAAATATAATTCTATACTTATTGTAAATATATAGAAAATTTCTAGCTGAAAGAGGTTAGTTGGTACAAGGGTTCATACTTCCTTAGATTAAATATATTAAATATATTATATTAATATTTTAGCAATGTTTGTAAAACTGTTCATTTCTTCTGGTTTTCACAGCCTGATTAATATTGAAGAAGTTGCTGAATTTTTTAAAGTGCTATCTTTCACATGTGATAACTTTTACAAATGGCAGTGCAGTTAAATGTCTAGTTTTATTTGTTTCTATTTTTTTCTTTTAAGGACCATAGGAGTTTTTGTTTAAATGTGACCCAGCGGAGCGGTTTGCAGCCATCAGAAATCTGGAACCAGGTCGTAAGTATCTGGGGAGGGGGGTCCATCATAAGTCTGAATGGTCACTAAGCAACTGTCGTTAAGCAAGGACCACTTGTAATGCAAGTAATAAAATGTCCCTAGTATTGTAATATACATGTATTATATATATATATACATACATATACACAAACACACGCAAACACACATATACAACAAACATTTTTTAAAAATAATACAGCAATTACAACTGCATGAGAATTATGAGTGGTAGACAGTCAGTTCAGAAGATATTCCAGAAGAATAAAATTTATAAAAGCTTCTGGAAGGCCAGAAACTAAGAATGCAATTTAATATTTATAAGGAGGGTATTCCTGAGAATTAGCACTGTGATGACAAATCAGTGCTTTCTGGCCTTAGTTTCCCCACCTTGTGGACTTATGGTATTACCATGGGTTTAAGAGAGGAGAATATTCTCAAATGGGCCAACTCTGACTGGAGAAGGAAATCCTATAGATACCTGGGTGTCAAGCCATATATGACTTTTATAAATCAATACTAACATTTTGAATGGTACCAAAAAACTAATAATGACTAATGAAGAGCCAACAAAACAGGGCTTATATGATCACAGTAAAGAGTGCTAGTCAACTGCAGCTTCTAGATGGTCTTCGAAAGTAGCCAAAAATTGAGTGACTAGTGGAAGTCTGCATGACATCTTACTTAGCAGTTCAGAAGGAAAGCATGATTGATTGATCAGAGATTTTATAAGACTAAGAGGGGTACATTATCCCTATCAAAGTCTGGACACAGGTCATCTATAAGAATGAGCAATGCTGTCTCCATTACATGCCTGGCCCCGAACTTCACTAAAAAGAATCCAGATAAATTGCTTCCTCTATAGTACTGGTTAATTAAATACCTATGACATACTTAATAATTTTCCCCCAAAAGAGAAAACTCAAGACGGAATAGGGTCAGATATTGCCAGATGTGGTGAGAACTTCTTAAAAAGGAAAAGCATTATTGCCTCCTTCAAAACTGCTGATATCAACTCCCATGAAAAGAGGTATTAATTACATAACTATAAACTGCCAAATTGTTAAGAAACTTTTCAGGCACTTCCAGAAACACTAAATCAATCATGTAGTAGGAGTGGACTTTTCTAATTGGTCCCACAGACCTTTGGAAGTCCCAGGCAGCAGTTAAGCTCAGCTGCACCTGGAAATTAACTAACCATGGGAATGGGCTAGCTGTAATTCTGACCATATTCAGATCACAGCATAGTTGCTCTGAGGTTAAGCCAGGTCAAAGTCACGACTATCCGCATGTAAGTCAAATATTACTTGGGATAAACCCATAGTTGCTAGCTACTGAAGCCATGAACTTCCTGGATCTAACCACCAGGAAATGAAGATTACTCATCTACAATCAAATCATGGATGATTGTGGTCTTATTAGAGACAGAATTGGTGTTTACCAGCAGGGAGCTAAGCCAAGGTCACTAATGACCACCTTGTGGTCCCAGCAGGACTGGGACCACAAGGCCAAAAACAGTGATTGCACCAAATTGCTGATTTTCCTTCCCTTGGAATGGCCGAGTCAGTGCTTTTCACCATACTACCCTCAGCCTATCATAATCAAAATTATTCTACCTTCACTGTCCAAATAATGGTCTTCAACTATTCTCCACTACATGTAGCCCACAATCACTCACTGACTTCCCTGCTCAGCTATTCATACCACTTTCCACAACACAATCATCTAATTACACCCAATTCACTCTCCACTACTAGGCCTATCAGTCTTACTACTTAACAAGCCATTTCAACTGGCAGGCCACATGTAATGACTCCATACCCTTTCTAACAACATGATTCCCCAATTCACCTCATAATAATCCAGTGCTGAAACTTTGTCACCAAATTTTCCAGATCCTCAGATCAGATATCTAGAGAGGCTCAGGCCACAGATTCCAGCTTTACCTTCTACCAGCAATAGACTTGTAGCTTTCAAGGTAAGGTTCCATAAGTTCAGCTAAATGCTTGGCCTCCAACTGACCTCTGCCAGTCTTTTCAAGTTAATTCTTCTTTGTCCCTCAGCGTGTTGTGGCTGTCTTCCCGCTGCTATCACAAATGAGCTTGAGACTGTTACTGATGCACTCTCCACTCTTCTTTCATAGGCCCTGGATTGCAGCAATAAATTCTCCACAATCCAGATCTCCTAACTGAATCCACAACCACTGTGGGCTCAGTATCACAGACCCACAAGGACCAACTTCTCTGTTATTGTATTATCTCTACCAAATTTAAACTATATCCACACTCAAGGTAGGCCACACTCAAGGTAGGTTTTGGCTTTCCTTTCCAGCTGCTACAATTCCACTCTTCTACTTTTATCTTCCACATTCTGCTTTTCTCCCTTTATCATTGTCTCTATTCTATCAAGCTTTTCTGTTTGCTTTGCTCTCAGTTCTTTTCACTATCTCACTATCTTAATTTGGCCATTCCAAACTCCAATTTATACAAAAAATTATTTGTTACACAGATAGAATAAACAGAAACATTTCAAGCCCCAATTATACTCCTTTCAGTAATACATCTAGCAGTCTTATATAAATTATAGATTAATAACTCTGTCCATAACATTTATTTAACATGCAACTTATTAAAAGGTGTGCTATTTTTTTGACCTCTCTTTCCAAAGGTGAGGAGAAAACTCATTCTCAAAAAATTCTAATTTTTTACTGTTGTCTATGAAATTACAGTTTTCAGCCAAACAAATAGCAACCCCATTTCATGTTATATCTAGAATTGGTAGAATTTATTAGTATTTCTTGTATTTCTTCATTTTATATCCTGCCTTCTCAAATCCACAATATATGAATCAGCCCTGATTTGATTCAACTTGGAGTTTTGAAGAAGACCGTGTTAGCAAATTCATTAGCATCAGAAGTAAAATAAATTAGACAAAGCAAAAGAAAGTGGTACCCTGCCCCAGACTCTGGACCAATAAAATATTAGACCAAAACCAGCATTACTTTGGAACTTATTCACTCATTGACAAGTGACAAGTGACAACCATGCAGAATTTAAGAATAAAGTCAGCCCTCAGCCAATATTCAGAGTACTGGGAGCAGAATTGAAATCCATTGGAATATTATCCTGCTACCCCAAGAGTATTTTGTTAGGTAGACAGTTGAATGAGGCATTAAAACAATTAGCTCTGTATTTATGTCAGTGTTAGACAATCCACACCATTAAACGTATCCCAAGCCTCTTTCTACATGGAAGTGAAATTGCAAGAATGTATATTGTCATTAACTATTACTAGCAAAACAATTTAAGAGTAGAAACAATTAAAAAACAAGAAAAAATGTCATAACCATTTGTACAGATACAGACTGGGTGAAACTTGGCTTAATACCAATAATTATGAGAGGGATTTTGGAGTCCTAGTGGACAATCACTTAAATATGAGCCAACAGTGTACTGCAGCAGCCAAAAAAGCCAATGCAATCTTAGGCTGCATTAATAGAGGGATAGAATCAAGATAATGTGAAGTATTAGTACTGCTTTACAAAGCCTTAGTAAAACCACACTTGGAACATTGCATCCAATTTTGGTCACTATAATATAAAAAATATGTTGAGACACTTGAAAAACTTATGAAGAACTTTTGCAGGAATTGGGTATGTCTAGTCTAGTGAAAAGAAGGACAAGGGGAGACATGATAGCAGTCTTCCAATATTTGAGTGGTTACCACTCAAGGGGGTCAACCTATTAGAGGGTCAACCTATTTTCTAAAGCACCAGAAGGCAGGACAAGAAGCAAAGGATGGAAATTAATCAGGGAGAGAAACAACCTTGAATTAAGGAGAAATTTCCTAATGGTGAGAACAATTAACCAGTGGAATGCCTTGCTTTCAGAAGTTGTAGGTGCCCCATCGCTGGAGGCTTTTAAGAAGAGACTGGACAGCCAATTGTCTGAAGTGGTATAGGTTCTTCTGCTTGAGCAGGAAGCTGGACTAGAAGACCTCCAAGGTTGCTTCCAACTCTTTTATTCTATGTTATAAGTTATGCAGACTCTTCTACCTCTTAGCAGATCAGCAAGCAATTGGAAATGCCAGTTTGTAAATACTTTAATGTTAATAGATATCATAAATAAAGCCAAATCTTTATCAGAGCTTATCAATTAACTTATCTAATTCTTTTGCTAGGTTCAAGATGAATGCAACCTGTGTCATGTGGGGAATCTTTTGGCTGATTATACTCTTTTTTATTGGATGGCCAATTAGCATATTTTTGGGAGGACTGTATGGATTCTTCGCTCCTTTGACCACTCTGATAGGTCTGGATGACTTTAGTGATCTTTTATTGAAGGGGGTAAATGTGGGAAGAGAATGTGCTATGAATGTGCGAACAGGAAAGTCCCTCTTTTAACAATAAACCCTATCATAAATCAGGAAATAAACATTCATTTTATGATCTTTAATGGATTTTGAAAGTATTTGTGTACATTCCTGTTTATATTAAAATGTTATTTAGGCTTTAAATAATACATTATTGATATTTTACAGTATTGTAAAGAAGTAAATATAGTGTCATTTCATTTGTAAGCTGTATAAAACCTGGGGAGATCCAAATAAGAACTTCAAATTTTTGTCAGATCTGGGTTTGATCAGAACGCCATGTTTACAGCTCTGAAAACTTATGTACTAATATCTTTGCTTAGAAACAGTGATGAAACCTGCCTTCCTCTTAGGGGGAAAGTTGGCTTTTGGCCTCTTACTCTGCCTTGTAAGTTATCAAAAGTTCAAAGTCTAATTGTTTATTAGCTTCATTGCCAAATGCAGTCAATGTATTAATCTGTATTATCGCTAATGTTCATTATATTTAAATTTGATATAAATATATCATATATATGGGAGCTATTTTTAATTATTCATAGATATGTTATTACTTATGATAAATAAAACATAACTCTACTGGAAGTTTCCACTTTTTTTTTTACGTTTTTGTTATGTATTTTTCTCCTAATATAAGAAATTCCTGAATTTTGCTGAATTGCTAAATTTTGCTGTTACTTTTCTGAAACACAATTATAAATATTATGATCTTAAAACTAGAACCTACTTTATATATTGGTAAAGTATTTTTGCTGTCACTTACCTGATAGAGATCTAAGTTCTCTGTCCCCTAATATGTATGTAAGTAATCCTTGGTACAATTTGAAACAATGGGAAAGTATTATTGCTAATGGTCCAGGTTGAGAATAGAAATTATCCTAGTTTCCTCATTAGATTGCATATTCCAGAAACTGATCAAAATAATGCATCCATGTTGATTCTTTTGAGTTTGTGTGTGTTATATAATACCATATTGTAACATTATCTGTGGCCTCTGAAATGTTTAGCTATAAACTATTATTATACAGATTTGTTTGGCTGAGTGTTTCTAGGTATTAGTAGTGGAGGAGTATTGCTTGATTCTTTGGCTGTTAACAAAATATACCTCAGGATGTTTTCATGATAGCCCCCCCTAAACCTTCACATGATCATTTCCCATGACACTAGACAAACAACAACAAGAAGAAAACAACTCCCTTTAAAATATAAAGTTGCCATATTGGGTGGCACCAACTCAAGCCCAATTATAAGAGAGGTGTTCTCTATTTAAGAAGTATATTAGGGAATTTGGTGGTGTGATTAAGGAACCAGGTTAGAGACTAGGAGACTTTGAGTTCTAGTCCTACCTTAGGCATGAAAGTCAGCTCGGTGACTTAAGCAGAGTCACTTTTTTCCAGCCCAACTCACCTCACAGGATTATTATTGTGGGGAAAACAGGAGGAGGAAGGACTATTTAAATATGTTTGCTACCTTAAATTGTTTATAAAAAATAAGCGGAGGAAATGAATGAATGAATGAATGAATGTATGAATGAACGAATGAACGAACGAACGAACGAACAAATAAATAAATAAATAAATAAATAAATAAATAAATAAATAAATGTCTCTCTTGGTTGATATACATTCAGCTATAAGACCACTCACAATGAGTTGCTTTTTCCTTCCTTTATGCCTTATAAGTGTTCGAGTTTTAGAAGCTTTTTCAAACTTAAAAATAGTGCTTAGCACTAGCTAGGTATCTGGCATTGATTCTTAATGCACATTTCAGGATCAATGTAGCTGTTTTTAAATATTGTCATTATTTCTAACTGGATGGCAATGGATTTACCAGAATCAGCATAGGGTTACTGGATGGCCAGTAGGGGAAAGAGCTTGGGGTAAAAAATTATCTCCTTTCTATTTCTATCACTTTTCACAAACGAGATAAGGCTGTTACAGGAGAAACTGCAAGCTTTCTAGAGATCGTAATTTCTCTTCTGAGCACCCTTTAGCTATTTGTAAGCAAAATATTAACTTCTTTTGTTAACTGATTTGCAATGTTGATCCATAATTTCTTAACATTAGAAAAGATCATAACTGAGAGTATTCCAACTTTCACTGAAATTTAATTTCATTCATTTTCTCTCAGTATTTAGGTAAGTTTGAAACTATTTGAAGTTATGGTACAGCTGGAAAAAATATATATATATACCCCTTTTGTTGTTGTTAGTTGCGAAGTCGTGTCCGACCTATCGCGACCCCATGAACAATGTTCCTCCAGGCCTTCCTGTCCTCTACCATCTTCTGGAGTCTGTTTAAGCTCATGCCTACTGCTTCAGTGACTCCATCCAGCCACCTCATTCTCTGTTGTCCCATTCTTCTATTGCCCTCAATCTTTCCCAGCATTAGGCTCTTCTCCAGTGAGTCCTTCCTTCTCATTAGGTGGCCAAAGTACTTGAGTTTCAACTTCAGGATCTGGCTTTCTAAAGAGCAGTCAGAGTTGATCTCTTCTAGGACTGACCGGTTTGATCACCTTGCAGTCCAAGGGACTCGCAGGAGTCTTCTCCAGCACCACAATTCAAAGGCCTCAATTCTTTGGCGCTCAGCCTTCCTTATGGTCCAATATACCTCTTTAGTAATTAACAATTATGAAGCAAATTTTTAAAGGAAATTTAAAATGAAAAGAATGTAAATTCTTGTGAGATTTGTTATATGTTGTCAGATAATGTTTATTATGGATTGACATTTTATTTATTTATTTAATGTGAATTTTCATTATAAAATGATTCAAGTACTAATAAAGAAGACCACTTAAAAATTTTTAAAGTGATCATAGAGTAAGAATCAATGCAGCCACCCCTTTTCAAATATCTCTAGTGCTGGTAAGTATAAATAGGAAAGGGGATACAAGTAAATTAACATATACTCAGAGATTATAAAAATGTCTTGGCAATAAACAAAACAGAAGTCTCAAACAATCATTCATCTGAGATGATATTAAAAGATTAATTTTCTCATTATGGAAAGTACAAACTTATAACTGAACAATTTTATGATATAAGCACAAAAACAGGTAAAAATGTTGCTTCAACATTTCACAGATGAAAATTAACATTTTTAAAAGCTATGTAAACCATATCCGATTCTATTTATAATAAATAGCATCTGAATGTCTCTGCTCATTGTGTTCTGAAGAAAAAAAGGAATGAATTGCATCTAAAGATACCAACATATGGTCACTAGAATTGGAATCTCCAATAATGGAGATTCAAGTCCTTAAAAATGTTAAAATGAAACCAACAAATCTGAAAATAAATTTGATCCATCAGAAAGCTGTATTTAGAATGTATTGGACTCCCCAAAGACTCTATTAGAAAAAATGGGCATCAGATTTTCTAAGCTGGGGATATAAAAGAAATGAGGATTCTCTGACTCAAATGATGTCTAAGATAATTTGATATATTTTGAGGCTAGCGTATTAATAATTTTTATTTATATAATTTTTTATTGAGTAAACATTTAAAAACAGGTTGAACACAGTGTGGCTTTTCTGGCTGTTATTTTGCCATACATACTATACTATATTCCATATATGTCCCTATTCATTGATCTTTTATACCATTTACATATTGCATTTTATACTATTTACATAATTATATATTTACATACATATTTACGTCTATTTACAACATAACTTCCATTTCCATTCTTATTTCATATTCTTTCTGATCTCTATCTTACGCTCACTTTGAGGTTGAAAATCTATATTTTCTCTCTTCTAGACGAGCTTTCTTTGGTCTGACTTTTTCTTCTCGAGTCTAACCAATAGTACATCTTATCCCAAACTTCGTAATACTCTGTTTCATCCTTGTCTTTAATTTCTAATGTTAGTCTATCCACCTCTGCACATATCAAAAAAATTTTAATTAGTTCACTTCTCCACCGGGGAATTTCTGTTTTTCCAGTTCTGGGCATAGACCAACCTTGCTGCTGTTATAATATGGCTAGCGTATTAATATTTATTTATAACTAAAACTGTATGCTGCTTGACTCCTAACAACTGTGGGAAGCTCAGAACAACAATAAGTAGATCTATGGGGAAAATTTTAAATGTCAAAGATAATAAGATATTGAACTCTATACCAAAGCTTTGGAATCTGACTGTTTGTAAGAAATTATGTTTGTATTGAGCTCATGGAGAGATGATTAAAAGAATCAGATTTTAACAGTAATGTTTATTATGTTATAAAACTTGCATTATATTGCTTCAATGTATGCAGTATTTATTGAAGATGAACACTCTAAAGTTAAGGTAAACCAAACGATGGGTGATAAAAAAGAAATAAATATATCAATTTATAAAAAAGAAATAAATATTATATCAATTTTATTACAATTTAAGATGTCAATATTAATCAGCATACTATTACTTAGCTTTCCTAGAATTAAATATAGTATTAAAAAAACTAGGGCAAATTGCGCCTAAGTATTTGTTATACAAAAAAGGGTTCAGTCTTAAGCTGATTACTTAATATTATGGTCTTCACAGAGTTGTTACTTAATGTTTTTTTTATATTTGTTGGAAAAGGAGAGAAGAGAAAAAAAACAACTTTGACAATGATTAAAATATCATAAAGAATCATACCAGAAATATACAATGTGACTATTTTGGGAAAAGGCAATAAATTTGATCACTACTTATGACAGTGATATTTACAATAGCATTTTACATTAATTATATTATAGTACTACTGTTATTAGTAAACCAGTAGCTGTTGATCTTTGTAATGTATAAGATTCTTTTTCTTATTTTATTTCTTAGTTTGTTAGAATTGTTTCTTTCTTAGTTCTTTTCTATCTTAGGTTTATATTAATTTTTAGTCTTTGTTTAAATATTGTTTGTTGATTGTGCATGTTAAGAATGTTAAATTTTCTTTAAAAAATGTTTGAGAAATTCAGAAGTACCAGAAGACAGAGCTATCCCTAACTTCAAACAGAAGAAGAAACATCCATCAATGTACCAGTTGATCTGACATTAAATACTTGGAAAGATTCTAAAGCAAATTATAAAGGATTTGTCTGTAAACAGTGAAAATTATGTGATAATTACCAGACAACATGGATTTGACAAGAATAAATCCTGACAGTCTAATTAAACTTTTTGTTTACTTAGGCAACTTCCCTAATAGATTGTGGAAATGCTGTAGATGCAGAACTCAGAAATAGATAATTTCTTCCTCCCTGCTTTGATTTCACCAAAGGATGCTTATCAGTGGCACTCCATACATATGGAAAGAGGGATCAAGTGGCTTCCCAAAAGGAATAATCCTGAGTCCTATTTCTTTTCCATATTTATATATGTATGTATTTGTTAATTAAATTTATATGCAGACCATCTCACTCTGAAAAGCGTGAGGGATTTGAGATAGCTAATGTTCTATAATAGAGGCCCCCAACCTTTCCAGCTCCACAGACCAGGATTGCCAGTGGTGGTGGGGAGGGGATGGTTTTGCATGTGTGCAAATGGAGCTTCATACGTTTGCCCGCTGCTTGCACAGCCTGGTTCCCAATGGACCGCGAACCAGTACCGGCCATGAACCAGGGGTTGAGGACCCCTGCGCTATAAGACAGGAGTGAAATTCAAAATTACATTGATAGATTAGAAAATGGCCTGAAAGTAAACAGAATTAAAATTTAAAATAACAAAATTAAGAAACAGGCAAAATTCTTCATTTAGGAAGTGTAAATGCTTGAATATAAGATAGGAACTATCTGGCTTAGTAACATTTTTCAAGAAAGATGTTGGAATAATAGGTGACTGCAAGCTGGACCTGAATTTGTAGCATGATATGACAAAAGCAGGCAAATGCAATTTTTAAGTTGCATCAGAACATATGTAATTTCTAAACCATAAAAAATAATTGTCTATTTGGCAGAGGGCAGAGCTCCACTTTCAATACTGTGTGTACCTCTGGGTACCACATTTTCACAAAAATCCAGAAATATTAGGTTTCGAGAAGGACAATTAAGATAATCAATGTGCTAGAAAACTAAGCCCGGTGAAGAGGGATTG